CCCCAGGTGAGGATTAAAAAAAAAAAAAAAAAAAAAAAAAAAAACATGGCAGATGGATTAAAAGGATCTGATAAACACACAATTGAAGTTTCAGGAAAACAGGAAAAGAGAATGAAGGGACATCTTAGTTTATTTCTCTCTTTCTTTCACATCCAATCCATCAGCAAATTCTTGTGACTCAATCTTTGAAATGTTCTCTGAATCTGACAACTTCCCTCCCTGTGCCTAGATCCAAACCGCCCTAACCTCTCTCCTAGCTGACCTCTAGCCGCCTTGCTGCTCAGCCTCCAGCAGCAGGCAGCGGGCTCACTGAGGAACGTGAACCTGCCTGTGTCATTCCCTGCCCCAAGCCCTCCAATGGCTGCAATCCCATTTAGAACAAAGTTCAAAGGCCTTACTTGCTATGTCTTGCAAGTTCCTTAATAATCTGGCCTGTAGCCGAAACCGGTTTGGCTCAGTGGTAGAGCATTGGTCTGTGGACTGAAAGGTCCCGGGTTCGATTCTGGTCACCGGCATGTACATTGGTTGCGGGCACATCCCTGGTAGGGGGTGTGCAAGAGGCAGCTGGTCGATGTTTCTCTCTCATTGATGTTTCTAGCTCTCTATCTCTCTCCCTTCCTCTCTGTAAAAAATCAATAAAATATATTTTTAAGTAAATAAATAAAATAATCTGGCTTGTAAAATTAGTCCTGAAGAAATTGGGCGTCTGCGTTACTGCGATGCACGCATGCCAATGGCCAGTGCTGCCTCTCATCCCAGCCTCCTGGCCCAGCGCCCTGCACTGACATCCCCGCTGCTCCTCTGACACTGAGCCACTCCACCTCAGGGCATCTGCACTTCTTTCTCCCTCTGCCTAGCGGAAGATCCCCCAGGTGAGCATCCCTCATGACATTCAGCTCTCTGCTCAAATGTCCCTTCATCAGAGAGGGCTTCCCTATCCTTCTATCTAAACACCCTGCCCACCCTACATCACCAGCCTTACATACCCGGGAAGAGAGAACGGCCTCTTCGGTGAGTGGTGTTGATGTAGTTGGTTATCTATATGGGGGAAATAACTGGGCCCTTATCTCCCACAATCACAAAATTAATCCCTGGTAAATTCAAGACCTATGAATGTGACAGCAAAGCATCCAAAGTTTAAAGGAAAATATAGGGGATATCTTTTTAAAACCTCACAGAAGGAGAGGGTGTTTTAAATAAGAATAAAGATGTTTTAAATAAGAAAAAAGAATACAGCCAGGGCATGAAGAGATCAAAGGTATCTCTCCAATCACCAGCCACCAGCCAACAGCATGACAGTTTCCAGACTAGAGGTTCAGGGGCCAAGAGGAGCAGCCCTAGAGCATGCCTTTGATCTCTTCATGCCCTGGCTGCATTCTTTCTAACTCCCTCTCTGCCTGTGACCAGGGTAGAGATTTTTATGAGTATTTAAGTTTAATGACTATATTTCCAAGATTAAACATTTTTCTCATGTCTACCTGTTGCTTTGTTTCTTTTGAAAAAGATATTGAGGGGTCAGTGTTGACCTCTCTAGGACACACACACAAAACCTCACACACAAAGCACTAATCATCAAAGAGAAGATTATGAATGTGTCTGTGTTAAAATTAAAAACGTGTGTTCAGCAAAACACACTACAAAGAAAGGTAAAAGACAAGCCACATTTTAAGGGAAAATATAATACACAACCAACACATGTTCAGTATCCAGAGTTATAAGGAACTCCTACAAATCACTAAGAAAGTAGCAAACAACCAAAGAGAGATATGACATAAAGGATAAGAAGAGTCACTTATGGAACACAAAGTCAACATAGTCACCCATATAAAGGAAATGTGCCTTGAAAAAATGAGATGTTGATTCATGCCAGGTATGCAAAAATTACAGCCTGACAATTCCAGGGATCAGCAAGGCTGTGGGGCACTTCTAGTCACGACAGAGGAGGGACATTTCATCTGAGCCCAGAAAACATTAGAAGGAGCCTGCGATTCAAGAAGCTGAGGGGACAGCTCCCAGCAATGGCATGTGAGAGGCCTTGAGCCAGGAAAGAATTTGGAGAAACTGAGAGGGGCATTGTGTGACTGAGGTTCAGCCACGCGAGAAAGAAGGAGAAGCCCTGTGTTGTGTGCTTCAGGAACGTAGAGTAAGAGGTGACGAGGTCAGCGTTTGTGGGGAACGGGTACAAGCCAGCTGTACTGAGAGGCACACAGGTGAGATTCGTGGTGGAGTGTCCATGTCAGCCGGCTTCCTCCCCAGCTCCTTACCCTTCATCTCTGTGATTTCCAGCCTTTTCATGTCATGGCACACACAAACTAATTACAAAAAGTCTGTGGCATGCCAAAAAAAAATTGTCTCTTTTGCTGATCTGATTTTTTTAAAAAAAAAATAGGCCGAGACTAGTTTGGCTCAGTGGATAGAGTGTCAGCCTGCAGACTGAAAGGTCCCGGGTTCGATTCCGGTCAGAGGCATGTACCTTGGTTGCGAGCACATTCCCAGTAGGGGATGTGCAAGAGGCAGCTGATCGATGATTCTCTCTCATCGATGTTTCTAACTCTCTATCCCTCTCTTCTTCTCTGTAAAAAAACCAATTTTATATACATATATATATATATATATATATATATATATATATATATATATAAAATTGGTATAGTTTCGATTCTTTCACACCAGATAGCTCTTGCTGTGTTGGCTGTCGTCATTTGTTTTATGAGACAATGTAAGGGAAAAGAGGTCAGTGCCCCTGACTAAATAATCAGGTATTGCAGCTGAAAATCACTGCTCAATCTCATAGCTTCAGGCTCATCTAAGTTTCATGGGGCCTGAAGCATATACAAGAAGGAAAGCTGCCTTTAAGAAAATGTGTAATTGTCTGTCTGTACCACCAGATTATCTATAGGGGCAGGGGCTGTCTTGCTGACCTCATGACAGGGAGGCTGTCACAGAGTAGTGCTGAGTCTCATGGAATGAACTAAACATATAGAGTGGGGCAAAAGTAGGTTTACAGCTGTGAGTACATGAAACACAGACTTCATTACTGCGTAATTACTTATTTATTATTTGTTATTTTCCATACAAACAGCCCAAAGAGTGGAAATGATGTCCTTGAAATTTTCTATGCCCTGTTTCTCAAACTGTGGCCACTCTGGCCCTGGGCTCTGCAGTTAGGAGGCCTGTTCAAGAAGGTCAAAGCCTTCCCCAGGCCCATGGCAGCCTTTCTCTCCTCTTCTGTCTCCCACTATCACCCTCCTTCCTTCTCCCACAATGCTCAACTCCTCCTTGAACATTCCTGGGTTTTTCCCCCACTGTGCATTCATGTCTGTAATTTCTTTTCCCAGCATGTCCAAATTCTACACTGCCCACCAGGTCCAGATCAAATGCCAGCTCTTCTCCGCCAAGCTCCCGCTAAAACTAATCTCCCCTTCATCTCAACTCCCACGGTCCCCTAGCTGTCTTTTGCTTATGGTGACCCTCCCTCCCACCTGATTGATGTTCCTCAAACCCTCTCCCAAGGATAAGCTCCTTGAGGACAATTTGGTTTATTTTCATGTTTCCTCCCACCTTCCTCCTATTCAGCAAGGCCTGCCAACTAATCAGTAAGGGGTTAAATGGAGGAAGTACAGAGAATGACATTGTGAATTTTTGCGCTGCTGATAGAGTAAGCAGTTAGACAGGAATGAGCAGAACAGGAACTGTATATAGGCGAGATACAGAATGTCACCAGGGCATAATGTCTCAGGTGCCTAGCAAAGGGCAGAACTAGAGAAAACAACAATTATAGGCTAGGACTCCACACCCCCCCCCTCCTGCCCCAGCATGCCGTTAGTCTTGTGGTTTAGACCTCTTAGAGGACAAACAATGGTTCAGACTTGTGTCAAACACAAGGCCCGCGGGCCAAATCCGTCCTGCCAGGCCTTGCAATGTGGCCCGCACCGCGCTGTCATCACTGCACTCCGCTGCGTTTCCATCACAATGACAGTTTATGACTGTTCAGTAAACCATTCGGCCCACGATTTAGGCTGGATTTTAGATTTTGGCCCCTTCTCTGATTGAGTTCGACACCCCTAGTTCAGAGAATAACTTCATAGGACTTCCTAAGAAGCCCTTGCATGACCACTCCCTTAATCATTAAGCCCTCAGGACCATGAGTTTCTGACCAGCATCAAATAATCTCAGAAACAAAACCTTGGGTCTATTGACCACAGAGACAGAGTATCGGTGAAACTAGAGATAACATCTAGGTCTCAGTTGTGTTTCAGCTCCAGGTCCAGAAAAGCAACAAATCTGGATGAAGCAAGGCCATGGCTCACATCAGGACTGGCTGCAATGACTAGTGACTCCCTAACCTACTGCTGACCAAGCAGTAGTGGCCACCCTGGAAAGTTGATGAATATTCTATTGAGATTCTCCCTTGAGACCAACCCTAAAATCCCCACCTTTAGAAAACAGATAAAAACTCTTAAGATATAGGACCCATTTCCCCCATTCTCCTCTTTTCTCTCTCCCACAGGCCTGTGCCTTCTTTCTCAGGCACATATTTTTGCTATTCTCCTAAGCTCTAAGGGCCCTTCTTTTGCCTCTGTAACTTGTTTCCTGAGTCCATGCAGCCCAGATGGCTCACTTCTTCTACTCTGTGACTTCCTAAATAAACTTCTTGTATTAGAGCTCTTGGCTCAGAATTATTTAAAAATATATATGTGGCCGAAACCGGTTTGGCTCAGTGGTAGAGCGTCGGTCTGCGGACTGAAGGGTCCCAGGTTCGATTCCAGACAAGGTCATGTACATTGGTTGTGGGCACATCCCCACTGGAGGGTGTACAAGAGTCATCTGGTAGATGTTTCTCTCTCATTGACGTTTCTAGCTCTCTATCTCTCTCCCTTCCTTTCTGTAAAAAATCAATAAAATATATTTTAAAAATATAGATATAGATATAGATATAGATATAGATATAGATATAGATATAGATATAGATATAGATATAGATATAGATATAGATATAGATATAGATGGAACGCTTTACAAATTTGCTTGTCATCCTTGCACAGGGGCCATACTGGTTTTCTCTATCATTCCAATTTTAGTATATGTGCAGCTGAAGTGAGCACTGAATTATTTCTTAGCCAAACCAAGATCCCACATTCACCATTAATACTGCCATTTTTCAAAGTTAAATACAGGAAGAAAAACAGGCTTGGGTGGGAAGACAATAAATTCATGTCAGACATGTGGAATTGGAGATGCCTGTGAGATATCCACGTGCAGATGAATAGAATAGATGGTTCTGACTCCCAGGAGACAGAGCTGGGCTGGAAATTATGCAAAGAATTTCTGCCTCTATTTAATGAATTAAAAAATAGAATTTGGAGAAGGAATTTGTTCAAACTTACATGGCAGAAAGGAGTAAATTCCAGTAGTGGAGTCTGTCTGGCTCTATCCTGACAGAGAAGAAAGGAAAAAGAAGACTTCCTCTGGGACCTTGGAGGGAATGTAGGAAAGTTGGAGTGTTACTGGTTGTGCTGCGCCAGCATGGCCAAGGGTGAACCTGAGGAGGCAGGAGATTGAAGAAAAGACAGACAAGAGAATACGGCTGGGGCTCTGTGGATCTCCTGTGCCTAAAGGAGGACACAAAGACCCAGCCTGCAAGCCAAGGCTTTATTTTATAGTCTCATTAAAACAAGGGTAGAAGGATCCAAGATGGCTGCGCCCAGGTGAACATCGAGCCGCAGCAGCACACAACAATTTCAATAAAAGACAACTAAAATATAAAACGGACATTGCCCAGAAATACAGGTAGGTTGACTGACTGGAAATTCTACAGCGAGAAGCAAGGAGAAAACCAGAAGGAGGCGCGGAGGAGCTGGAAAAGCCAAAGTACGGAGACGCGGCTCGTGGAGAGGATGGAGCCGGAGAGGATGGAGAAGCGGAGTGCCTGGCGGGCGTTCCCTAGCGGAAAGGAGATAAAACTTCGACTGTGCTGGGCCCCCGACTGCTCTGAACCCCAGTTCTAGGCCAGACCCCGGGGACTCAGGCTCAGCCATAGGGAGCCGGGCTGTAAGGCGGAACCCCGGGGAAGTGGCGAAAGGAGGTCCCGGCCACGCACACACTGCACGCAGAGAAGGGACGGTCGGCTGTGCTGCGGGATTGCCCTGACGGGAAGGAGACTGGGGCTCCAGATTGCTCTGAACGCCACCTCCAATTCCACTTCCAACTGAACTGAACCCCAATACCGGGCTCATTGGGGGAGAGCATAGACTGTTTGGCAGCAGGCGAAAATCGAGGGCACCTTTCTCTCAGAGGCGCTGGCAGCGAGCACTGAAGGACCCGCATAGGGCGGGGCTGACGGAAGCCAAAGCTGCAGGCTCCACCCTGAAACCCCATCCCATCTGTAACTGCGAAATGAGACAACAAAATAGATCACAAACAAAAGAAATGGAGGACAAAAAGCATCTGGATATAGAGTTCAAATCTACACTTATAAGGTTTTTCAAGAATTTCCTAGAAAAGATGGATAAGACCTATGAGGATATGAAAAGAGATCAACTAGAATTAATAAGGAGTCATCAAGAAATGATAAGGGATCAACAAGAAATAAGGAACACATTGTCTGAAATAAAAAATATTTTACAGAGTCCTAAAAACAGAAGGGAAGATCGCAAAAATCAAGTCAAAGATTTGGAACATAAAGAGCCAGAAGACACTTCTCCACAGAAGCTAGAAGGCAAGAGAATCCAGAAAATTGAAGATAATGTAAGAAACCTCTGGGACAACTTCAAGCGAACCAACATCAGAATTATGGGGGTCCCAGAAGATGAGAGAGAGCAAGATATCGAAAACATACTGAAAGAAATAGTGACAGAAAACTTCCCCCACCTGGTGAAAGAATTAGACTTACAAGTCCAGGAAGCACACAGAACTCCAAACAAAAGGAATCCAAAGAGGACCACACCAAGACACATCATACTTAAAATTCCAAGAGCAAAAGACAAAGAGAGAATATTAAAAGAAGCAAGAGCAAAGAAGGTAGTTACCTATAAAGGAGCACCTATACAATTGTCAGATGATTTCTCAACAGAAACCATGCAGGCCAGACGGGAATGGCAAGAAATATTCAAGGTGATGAATAGTAAGAACCTACAGCCAAAGATAATCTATCCAGCAAAGCTATCACTCAGAATCGAAGGTCAGATAAAGAGCTTCACTAATAAAAAAAAAGCTAAAGGAGTTCATCACCACCAAACCAGAATTATATGAATTGCTGAAGGAGGTTCTTTCAGAAGAGAAAGTAAATAAAGATAAAAATTATGAACAACAAATATGTAACTATCAACAAGTGAATCTAAAAACCAAGGAAATTTAAAAAAAAAATCTGATGAACAATAGTAACTGTTGAATATAATAGAATCAGAGGTATGGAAGGGGAGTGAACTGACGATTCTTGGGGAAAAGGGGAGAGGGAGGCGTGGGAAGAGACTGAACATAAACTGTGCACCTATGGATGAGGACAATGGGGAGTGGGGAAAGGGCAGAGGGCAGGGTGGGAACCTGGTGGAGGAGAGCAATGGTGGGGGGGGGGGGGGGAGGGAACATTTGTAATAATATGAACAATAAAAACTTATTTAAAAAAATAAATAAAAATAAAAAAATAAAATAAAACAAGGGTAGATTAACATGTATACAGATGTTCTTGTTTTGGCCACACTTGGTGAACCTCCCTCAGCCCATTAGCTGCTTAGGAAGGAATTAGGGAGGATTAGAATTATGCGAGGAGAGCTCTGCCCTCCAGGCTGGGACTTGTTTGTGGCTTTGCCACAGGTCAGCCAGAGGCTTGACCCTAGAGCTGCTCCCTACATCTGGTGACTCCAGTGGTTTGAGGCATATCCAGACCTCAAGGAGCCCCTCTTTTTGAGCCTCATGTCCTCAAAAGCAGACTAGTATAGTTGAAAAGGCACTGGCTCTGGAAATGTGTAACCTGTGAGTCATTTATGTATAAGCTTAGGCAAGTCACTTTCTCTCTCAGTGCCTCAGTTTCCTGAACTATAAAAGGATGTTAAACAAATAATTTTTAAGGTCTCATAATTCTGACACACATGAATTCATAATTCATTTAATTCTTTTAAATATATTTTATTGATTTTTTACAGAGAGGAAGGGAGAGGAGAGAGATAGAGAACATTGATGAGAGAGAGACATCGACCAGCTGCCTCCTACACACCCCATACCAGGAATGTGCTCACAACCAATGTACATGCCCTTAACCGGAATCAAACCTGGGACCTTTCAGTCCACAGACCGACGCTCTATCCACTGAGCCAAACAGGTTTCAGCTAATTCTTTTATTTTTAATACAAGCCCAGGAACATTTATTTTCTAAGTACTTTGTTTCTGAGTAATATTAATATCATTTTTATAGTGCTCACTGTAGAAAATTTGTCAAAAGGGGAAAGCTCAAAGAAGGGGAATAAATCACTACAATATCACTAGTTGGAAACTAGTTGCTAATATTTTGCTGTAATTTCTACTGGTCTCCCTTTTACTGGGCAAATATACATATGTCTTTTCCTTTTTAAAGAAATTGGGTAATAATATCCTCGATTAACTGAACATCTGTTACACATCAGGCTCAGAACCAAGTGCTCTGAATACTTATTACCAATCCCTTCAGGGAAGATAGCAATGTCACCATTTTACAGAAAAGAAAGCCAAAGGGCAAAAAAACTCTAGAATTCCTGCCAGACTAGCTTCCTGAGCTGCTTTATTTTGTGTGTGATTCCTTTGTCACTTAATGTAGCTTTAACATGTTCCCATTTTTCAAATACTTTTCTACCACATTATCTAAGTTGCTTCAAGATACTCAACACACAGTTCCTTGCTATCGATAGCATTGAAGATATTTTCCATTGTCACTGTCATGGACAATGCTATGATTATCTTCCTCCCATGTAATTCTTTCCACTCAGTCATAATTGTTTCCTTAGGGTAGGTTCACAGAGGTTGAATATCTAGGTCAAAAGATAGGTGCATTCTTAAGGCTATTGACAAATAGTATCAGGATCCCTTCCCCCAAAACTGAACTATTCTTCACCCTTTAACAATTTATAAACGTTCCATTTACTTGTGACCTCCTTAATGTTGGGAATTACCTCATTTTTATTCATCTTTGCTGATTCAGTAATTGAAATTTCTTGTCTATAAAGTTGGACTTCTTTCTAATGTCATGGATCATCACATGATTCATTCTAATAAAAATCTCATACAAATCCTTGGAAGTTATGAGAGACATAAAGTATTGGAATGAAAGAAAGGGACATTTAATTTTATTCATTTAACAAAAACCAAGTACCTGACATACACAGAGTATGTTATAAGCCCTGCAGGCATTAAAATTAGTAAGAGTGAACAAATATTGAGCACCTACTCTATGCTCAACAGCAGGCATCCTAAATATCATGAGAGAGAAAAAAATGTACAGTATTTATCCTTCAACAACTTGCAATCTAGTTGGGGAGGGGAAAGCAACACCCAGAAGGTGTTTTGAACTTAATTTCTCCCTTCCCTGTTCTTCCATGAAACTGCCTTTCTTATCTCCATTGTGGCTTTGTGAGTCAACCTTAAACATGCCTCTTGTGCAAGTCATCTGAGAGCCCCAAAGCGCCGGATGGTGTCTTACTCAGACTCCTGTCCCATCATGTAAAGGCCAATGACTTCATGATTTCTTCACAGTTTTTTACTCAGTGTTGTAAAATAGTGGCAAGTTGCCATCTCCTCTACCCACTCCCATCCCCACTCACCACATTAGTCCACTGCATGCCTGAGAGCATCAGAACCACAGGTGGCCCTCAAATGCAGGTTTTAGGAGTCTCCATTAACAACATTAACATTGGTTTCCTTAAACCACCATCTCATGCCCTTCAACTGCCCAAGCCCTAGGATTTCTTTTTTTTATATATATATATTTTATTGATTTTGTACAGAGAGGAAGGGAGAGAGATAGAGAGTTAGAAACATCGATGAGAGAGAGTCATCGATCAGCTGCCTCTTGCACACCCCCTACTGGGGATATGCCCGCAACCAAGGTACATGCCCTTGACCGGAATCGAACCCGGGTCCCTTCAGTCCCCAAGCCGACGCTCTATCCATTGAGCCAAACCGGTTTCGGCCCAAGCCCTAGGATTTCATGTCAATTCATTTACATGGCTGAACACGTGGGGGTGGGGTGTCAAGCGTTTGGTGGTTATTTGCTTGTTACTCTTTTTCATACCTTACGGACATTCACATGGACTTCTTGCCCTCCAGGACCTGCACGTCATGATTGTCTGCTGAAGACTGATACCAAGATTGATAGCATGAAGGAATGTGACCTGAGTTTTCCCTTTATGATTCACCGATATATTTTATCTGTATAGCCCAAAGCATCTATGGCCAGCTCAGCTAAATACACATTTGCTTCTTTCAGATTCTGATTTTGAATTTGAGTTGAATTAATTCAAATTTCAAAAGAGTTTCAGATTGGTATGAGCTGCAGGGGTTGGCTGTTAAAAGTGGGACATGAACCAGCCTAAAGTATAAGTAAGATTTAGGGGACAAGATGGGTAGGGCCTTGTCCCTTCATCCACCCCTTTCTTTCCTTTTCATCTCTACCCACTTCTTAAGAGCCTTCAATGAGGCACAGAAAAGAGGTAAATTGTTAGCATAGTGCTGAAGGGGGTGAGGAGAGGCAGCGAGTGCTATCTGTCCAGGGGCTACATAAGGATGAACCTGGCCCTCAGACATGCAGCAGGGCCCTGAGAGACTGGCAGAGGGAAAGACTACAAGGCTTGTGAAAGGCGAGAGGAGAGACCAGAGCAACAAGGGGATTCCCAGAAGAGTGACTGAGAGGCATTGTAAGGGAAAGGTGAAGTCATATTTGCCCCACCTTCTGGGACAGCATGTGCATTGGCACATGATAAACTCTTCTTCCAGTGTGGATCCCGAGAAGAAAGATTCATTGAGGTGGACCTTGAGAAGGAATTTATCTACTGAGATGATGCTCTATAGTCAACTGAGGGCCCAAATTTTATAAATAATAAGAGCCTAATGGCCATCTGCTGACAGGGGCTCCTCACATACTCTGCACACCAGGAAGAAGCTCAGACTGTCCTCCCTGCTTTCCACACTAGGCCCCACTGTTCACGCTGTCTGAGTCAACCACTGCAGGGCAGCCCTGGTTTTGTCTTTCTACCAATGAACTGAGACCTGCCCTGTGCCATCAGAACAGCACGATTTGGACACCCTGTCTACATAAAGTGGACCTCACTGAGAACCTGGCAGGAACTGTTGCTATAAAAGGCACCTCCCCTTTGTTTCAGTGGAACGCAATTTAAATTGCTACCTGACTCTGTGTCTGTGTCCAGGCCTGCAGCTCCTTCATGCTCAAGCATTTTTTATTCTCGAATAAAGTCTAAAATTAATTTTGGTTTATACTGGTAACAGACGGTGCCTGCACCTATACACCCTCCTATATGTCACTGGTATGATCAAAAGGATGCTTTGTGTATAGCAACTAATCATCGCCCAGGCAGGCCCTATGTTGGATTCTGTATCTTTGTCACCTCATTGGACACCACCAACTACATGCCCAATACCACCAAGACTCCCAATCAGATGTTCCTAGACTTCAGGGTACTTAAGAATCACCATAGATCTGACTAATGTCACTCAGAAGTGCATTTCCTTAGATCTGGAGTGGAACATGCGTTTTTAATAAGCATCCTGTGAGAGTGATGCAGATATCCAAGGACCACTGTAGTCTACCCAAATAGTGTCTCTATGCAGTTCCCGCCTGGCCCTGTGAGCCAGAGGCTTTCTTTCATACCTTTAGAGTCAGCCTCGGAGCCCTCCATCCACAGTGTCTGTGGACAATGACATCCCCTCCAGTCATTCTTCCTCCATACACTTCAGTGCTGCTCTCCCTGTTTCTCTCTCTCACACACCAACCTTCCTGCTGTGCCACTTGAAGCCCCCACTCTGTGATAAACTCCCATAATATTTTTTATTGATTTCTTTCTTTATTTTTTTTTTCAGAGAGGAAGTGAGAGAGAGAGAGTGATAGAAACATCAATGATGAGAGAGAATCATTGATTGGTTGCCTCCTGCACGATTGGATTCTGGGTCAGAAATATGTCCTACCCAGAATCAAACCATGACCTCATGGTTCACAGACTGACGCTCAACCACTAAGCCACACCAGCCTGGCTCCTTAATATCTTTAACCCTTTTCCTGTACCCAGCTCTGCAGAGGGTACCACTTCCCAGGCCACCACTGGCCTCTACAGTGCCTCTGCTAAATTAGAGAAAGGTGTCCCTTCTGGATGGGAGATCACATCTGCTAAAAGTGCCTCCCCTGACCCCGACAATCCAGTCCCTAAGGACGCAAGTATGGGGAAAACTCAGATTTCAGCCCCTCCCCTCCTTAGACAGTGCAGGAACTACACAAATTGCAGCCTGACCACTTCCTTGTAACCTTCCATGGAGATTTCTCAACCTCTCACTCCTTCTGCCAACAGGTCAAAGAAAGGTTGTTGCTATCTTCACTCCCCAGTGAAGCCATTTCCAAACCTTTACTCTTCTCCTTCCTGTTAAAGCCTCCACTGTTCTGAGCCTCAGCCAAGAGGTTGTATCAGCCTCTAATGTCCCTTACAAAGACCAACTTCCAACTTCGTCCCTGAAGATTGATAGCCTTTCTCTCCCCTACACTCGCCATCTTGCTGTGTAACCTGGATGCTATAACTTGTCCAGCACCGGAGCCTTACAGCTCACAAACCTCCTCAGTCCAGTGGTCTTCATCTCCACTCCCTTCTGATTCCCTCACACCCAGGAACCTTGTCAGAACTGCCCCTCATCAGAAATCTCAAACTCCAGCAGCCCAGCCCCAAGCAACGATCCACTTCTGTGCATCCCTCTCCTGCTCCCACTCTTGCTACATCTGCTCCTTGGCATCATGGAACCCATCCCCTGAGCCCTTCGTTTTCTGCCTGCCCAGCCTAGAACACACAGTTGACTGCTGAGCCATTCTCTTACAAGCATCTATCTACCTTCAATCTCATTTTCTGGGAAAATCCAACCCTAATGAATTCCACGATCCACTCTCTCCCACTTCTCCCCAGGCCCTGAGTGCTGCTGAATAAAAGCATGCAATTCTATGCTGGCACCATGGTCTCCAGACTCCTCTGCGTCTGAGTGCTGCACATCAAGGAACCTGTAGGCCTCTGCTCCCATCTCCTCAGGAAGCCTTCCAATCTCCACAGCCTTCTTCAGCACCACCCCCAACCCAAAGCCCTTTCACCTATATTCTGATAACTAACAACTTTATCCTCTGGCCTAGACTCTGTCCTGAACATCCGAGTTGTGTATATAGCTGCATGCATGTGTATACAATGTCCATTAGCACATTACCCAGGCACCTCACATTATGCCTGTCTAAAACTGAACTCATTATCTCCACCCTAGCCCCTAACGTGCTCCTCCTCTGATCACCAAGTTAATCACCATCATCCACCCACCCAGGCAAGTCAGACACCTGAAGTCATCCTTAACTCCACCCTCTCCTTGGCAATCTACCTCTAGGGCCAGCTATTTTTACTGCCCTCATTTTTAAAATCTTTTCACTCCTTCTAGCCCTACACCTGCTGACTATTTTGTGATAATTCATCATCACCTACCTGTACTATTGCAAGATAATTCATACCCTAATTGGGCTCCTAATTTTTCTCTCTCATATCTACTCCCCACATAATCACTAAAGTGATTCATCTAAACCTAGGTCTGGCATGTCAATCTTCTGCTTAAAACCCCTGTTGCGTGTAAGACAGTTTTTAAATTCTTGGAAGGCAACCTCTACAAAGCCTTCCTAGTCACTCACCAGCATCAGCCCATGTTTTCTTGTCTTGAGCATTACATTTTAGCTATGCCCTGCTCACATCATGCAGTTTCATACCTCCACACTGCTCTTGTCCAGGAAGACCACTGTCCTCCCCCCATTGGTGTGGGTCACCTCCCCCACATCCACCATTTACTACAAAAAGCATTCCAGACACCAGTGTTCCCCTTTATCTTAGCATTTACCTTTATTTTGAAATGACCTACATTTAACGTCCCAAAATTTAACCAAATTCAAAAGCAGGAATCTCTGTGCACTGGCCATACGTGCCCTCCCCCATGCTGAACACATATTAGATACTCAAAAAGTAATTACTGGATTGATTATCGCAGTTGGGCTGCGAGGGAAGTATTTTAAGTGAAAAAGCTCACTCAGATAACAGGTTACACTAGTGGATGGGAAAGCAGCTGCATGAAACCAGCACTGAGGCTTGTGCTCTTTCAAGTAGAACCTGGGGAACAGGCTCAGTGTGGAGATAGAGATAAGAACGGCATGTCAGGGCACCAGCTTAAGGGTGATGGTGTGTGTGAGAAATCCAGGGAAATGGAGGTGGGGACGATGCTGTGGGCAGAAGGGTAGGGCTCGGGGCCCAGGCACTGCTGGTTCTAAGCAGAGCCCTGATACGAAAACCTGCTGGCGGTCCCAGGCCTGAGCCAACTCCAGATGCTGGGCCTGAAGCGGCCGATGTCCCCAAAACCCTCACGCTCTGCTTCTCAAATATTCTCTGAGACCTGCACATATTCCTCCCCTAGAAACAAGCCTCCAGGAAGCCCCGAGTATAGACCAACAGGAGTAGCCAAAGGATATTTGGAGAGAAGTAAACATGGACCTGTGTGAATGAGAGCTGCCAAGTTCTGGAGGTCCCTACCTTGCTCCACCCACCCTCCAGCAGCCTTCCCCGACCACCTGAAATACAGAAGGCAGCCAACAGAAGGAGCTAAGAGGCAGAGGCATGAGACCAGCCAAGGAAAGCTCAGGAGCCCACAGAGCAAAGGGAATATTCAGCAACAGAAGCAAACAGGGGGACTGTGCAAGTATCCAAAGGCCCCATAGCTGCGGGCGTCCAAATATGGCCTCCCCTGCACACCTCCCTCTGGGCTCGCAGGCTGGAAGACTGTTCTAAAGGAAGGCCAAAGGACATAGGGTTGGAATAATACCAGGGACAGAAATCTAAAAATACCATCCAGTGTTGACAGAGCACAGAAAAGGGCACCTATGGTATGGTTAACAAAGGGTAAAGGTAAGGCAGTCTTTCTGATAAACTCCGTATCAGAGAACCATGAAGAGCCAGGAGGACCTCATTTGCAAGAACACCCCACCCTCTGTCTTCAGCTGAATCTCTGGGGGCCAAGCCAACCTCTCACCTCCCCTCACTGGTTGTAGGAGCAGGAAAACGTACTTCCTGCCGGGGAAGGGGCTGGGCAGAGGACACTGGACCTTCCAAATGGGGACTCACACACCTGCTCTGTAGACTCCAATAAAGGCCTTCCGTTTACAAAGATTCACAAGGAAAAGAAATTGGCTCTCCTCTTTTCCCACCTCTCCTTAGCCAACCACTCCCAGCTCCACCCCAACCCAGCTGCAATGGAAGCTCATTACAGGCCATCCTGGAGCCGGAGTGACTGGCCTTGCATTGCTCAAGGATGGGGAAGCCTTGGCATCTTGCAATTCCTCTCTGGAGAAGGTGTGGGCAGTTCCCAAGCAGCATCTCGGTGGAATCTCTCCAGTGATAACAACAACGAGAAAGACAAGCACTTACTGAGTGTTTTTCTATGTCGGGCATCTTATCTTACTTGTACTATTTCATTTAAAGCTTCCAATAAACTTTTGAGGTGGGTGCTAATATTATCCCCATTGTATGGACGAGGAAATAGAGCAGTTCCATACTGGTCTGAGGTCACCTGGGAGCAGATAGAAAAGCAGGACAATCACAGATCTTTCTTCCTGATGTCAGAGATCCTGCTCTCAGGCACCACAGAAGGGGCCAGCTTCCTTGCCTCTGTGCTTATCTTCTCCTCACTGCACCAACTATGACTTTTCCCTTTTCACAGCTGCTCAACTTTTATGCCAGAGTGTAAGCTTCCTGAGGTTAGAAATCATTTTCAATGGTGCTTTGGCAGTGACACCAACAACACAAATGCTAACTGGCCAACCAAAGGTTCTAAACACTATGGATGTTTAATAAATGCTATTTATTTGGCTGTTATAAAACCATTAATGTTCCATACACTAGATAGTTCCATTCTTTTCCTCTAGAGCAGGGTTTGACAACCTCAGCCCCATAGATATTTTAGGGCCAGATAATTCTGTGTTGCAGGGGCAGTCCTATGCCTTGGAGGATGTTTGACCCCTCGTCTCTATTCACTAGATGCCAGTAGAACCCCCAACAGTGTGACAGCCAAAAATGCCTCCAGACATTCCTGGATAGCCAATCACCCTCATTTTGGATCTATTGCTCTAGAGACTCTATTGCTCTAAGTACTACTAGTCTAAAGTAACCAGGTAAAACTAATAGTATTTATTTCCTGAAAGTAAGACAGCAAGAAAGCTTGTTTCTACTTACAATAGAGCACTCATATTACTTACTAGTACAGTGTACTAGAGGCCCAGTGCACAAATTTGTGCACAGGTGGGGTCCAGCCAGCATGCCCTGATGGGGGCCGATTGGAGGTGGGACCAGTGGGGGAGAGGGGACACAGGTGGTTTAGCTGGCCAGCCCTGCCCCCAATGGGGGGGGGGGGTCCAGTCGTGGGAGGGGCAGGGGGGGGAGAAGCCACAGGTGATTGTGGATGGGGCCTTTTTGGGGGAGAGGCCATGGGAGGTTGGGCAGAGCCAATCAGGGCCTGATTGGGCCTGTTGTCTGCTGCAGTGCATGTCATAGTGACCAGTCATTCAGGTCATTCCACCATTTGGTCGCTGGGCTTTTATTATAGTTATATAACTATATATATATATATAAATATATATATATATATATATATATATATATATATATATATATATATATATAAATAAAAAAAAATATATATATATATATATATATATATATATATATATATAACTTTTATAAATAGTTAATAAATATGAGAGATCCTGAAACTACTTATAGTCAAAGCCCCAGGGCACCAATAGCAGGAAATCAAGATATGTTCCTGTTCTGCCTGATCCAATCACTTCCTGCCATAGGCTGGAGGGAGCCCACGGCCAAAAAAGGATATGACTGGGTTCAAATCTCAGCTCACAGGCTTAAAATCATTGCAGTTAACAGCAGGGAGCAGACATAAGTCTCAATTTTTCTACTCATATTCACTGGGCCTCACAATGGGTGGCAGTGCCCAACTCAGAATTATTGTGAAAAGTAAATACAGCTAGAAAGCAACTATCAAGCAAGGTTGGGCTCTACAAGGCTCAGAAATACTCTTCCCTTTTCCTGTCCTCACTTGTCCCAGGCCTTTGAGAGCATTGCAAATGTCTGGGTTTTGTTTTCTCCACCCCTGGCTGCCCCGAGAAGACCTGCAGAGCCTTAAAAATGCCGATGTCTGGACACCACTGCCAACATATTGATCAGACTCTCTACTTGAAAGTACATATTGTAATTTTTTTAAATTACTCATGACATACTAGTACTATCTTTCCCATAACCTTATTAATGTCAAAAATAAAACAGTAATATTTGAACCAGTTCTTAAAATATATTCATTGTAGCTGAAACCGGTTTGGCTCAGTGGATAGAGTGTTGGTCTGTGGACTGAAAGGTCTCGGGTTCGATTCCGGTTAAGGGCATGTACCTTGGTTGCGGGCATATCCCCAGAAGGAAGTGTGCAAGACGCAGCTGGTCGATGACTCTTTCTCATCGATGTTTCTAACTCTCTATCCCTCTCTCTTCCTCTCTGTAAAAAATCAATAAAATATATTTTTAAAAATATATATATAGTCATTGTATATTTATCACTAATAATTAATAGCTTATAAATAATTTAAATAAATCAATGTATCTCCAAATGGCATCTATTGTATTCTTAAGATCCACAAGTCCCATTAGGATTTTTGGATTTTATGTTTTAATTTCAATGACCATTTAAAAATGGGCTTTCTCGTGTTATTTTTTTCCCCAGTCTTTGAAGTGATAATCCTCAAATGAAGGATATGTTCATAGAATGAAGCACAAGTCAGTGCTTTTCAAAGTTTAGGAAACAATGCCTCAAATAATTCAGAAATTAATGTGTCAATAACAAGTTACATAAGGGACAAATTTTGTACACAAGGCTAGGATAAAGCCTACTTGCTACCAGGAGAGTAGGTGCTGTCATTTGTTTTGTTTTTAGGAATGGTAAGATACTGTAGTGTACAGTAATGATATTTCAGCACTACTACATAACATCACATCCATACAAAGTAAAAAAATTATAGTTTACAACTAAAGGCTAAAGTGAGTAGCATTTAAGGGAATTAAGTGAATTAAAGGATGTTCTTGTGACTCAACTAATGGAATGTTACTGAAAAGGGAAAGGCATAGGCTGGATTCAGTTTGTGTTTGTAGCCTCGCTATAACATATTAGATCACCCACGAAAGTGTGCACGTCATTAGCACATCATAGCCCCAAGGAGTCAGGAGTTGGTCTCCTTCTCCCCATGCCCACAGCAGTACCAAACCCTCAGAGACACTCAACAAACATTTCTGAAATAATGAATCTGCCACCCTCATATTATCTTAGTCTTTCTATCCTTATTTTCCCTATATCCTGGAAGCTACCCGAAGACCTATGTGACTAAGGCAGACATTAGAAAACCAATACACTTTTAAGAATTGGCTGTACCCTAACCAGTTTGGCTCAGTGGATAGAGCAGACCAAGAGTCCCAGGTTCAATTCCAGTCAAGGGCATGTACTTTGGTTGCAGGCACATACCCAACAGGGAGTGTGCAGGAGGCAGCTGATCAATGTTTCTCACTCATCAATCACAAATCACTCTCTATCCCTCTCCCTCTCCCTTCTTCTCTATAAAAAAAATCAATAAAATGTGTTTTAAAAAGAAAATACTTTAAAGAAGAAGAAGGAGGAGGAGGAGGAGGAGGAGGAGAAGGAGGAGGAGGAGGAAGAAGAAGAAGAAGAAGAAGAAGAAGAAGAAGAAGAAGAAGAAGAAGAAGAAGAAGAAGAAGAAGAAGAAGAATTGGCTGTAAAGAAATTCCCATGAGTAGCAACTTCCTTGACTTTGTCCGTGGAGCAGTGTCTCCATCACATTCTAGTCAGAGCACAGACTGGTCACGAGTAATCCTAGGAGTTCCCATTCATGCCCAGCTAGGTAAGCTGCACCATGTTTTTTCACTGTTGAATTATTTGGTTAAGTGGTAGGGACAGTGCGTTTCAACTGCTTGATAAAATGGTGTGCCCTCCAAAGAAATGTTGGAGTGTAGCTCACAAGGACTAAGAAGAGCCACTCCTTGCAGAGGTAACTGACCTGGCTTGCTATGCTCTCCTCAGGCACCTGCAATGCACTTCCACGGGCAGGGAGTGCTTGCCTCTCCAGGGAGGATCCAGGCTGGCTGGGTCCAAGAAGAGGATGTCCAAACCTCCCCACTCCCTCTGTTCGTGCTGCCTTTTTTAGTTCCTCTTCTATTTGGGAACTGAACCCTGACTTCCCTTCTTGTCTCATTTCAATTCCTCACCTACTAATACTCTCCGTTAACCCCCCAAGTGCCTTTCACACTTTTGTTTCTGTCTAAAAATGAATGGAATCAATTTCCAATTGCGGGGGACCATGAGTTCTAACGTTGGAAGGAGAGCTCAGAGACCAACCTCCCACTCACTTAGAAAGGGGTCTTAAACGGTTTTCCTGCATCAGCTCTCCAGCTCTACTTAGCCTGCCACACAACGTACAGCATTTCTAGGAGTTTGGATGGAAAGTAAACTAGAGGGTGTCAGTGTTTCATTTTCCCAAATGATGACATTAAAAAATTAACAGCTGGGAGGAAACTACTATCTGTAATCTACAATGACCATAATTTCATAAAAGAAAGGATATTTTACAAATAAATTTTCAAAAAGCTGTACTATCAGAATAAAAGGCAGGCCTTTAAGTTGGATAAAGGTTTGCTTTCTCTTTTAGGATCTCTCCATTTGTTCTCATTCCATGAAGACCTGTGAACAGTTGGTCAAGACTCTCACAGGCTGGAGTCTGATGACAACGGACTATAAAGCAGGCGGTATTTTTCCCTAATGCTGTGTACCCCTGAGCAGTTTATTCAGTGTCCCCCAACCGAGCCCGATGGCCACTGCATACAAGCAAGGCCCTGTGGGAGGAGTACTATGCCATTCGACTGTGGCCCTGACAAACTTTAGGATCAAATGTAGTCACAGACATGATCAGCAAAAGTCCTGAACAAAGATATAACTACTGCGATAGTAAACTTCTCCCCATGTTCCATATACTGACTGGGCAAGAGTCCCAAATGTACTAGGAAGTATACATGTGGCCTATTAAAATTAACATGTACTATACCTTAACTTTGACCCATTTGAATCTAAACTACTACATTGAAAACAAACAAAATAATAATAAATAATAAAATAAAATAAAATAAAATGCTACATAGAGCCAAACCGGTTTGGCTCAGTGTTAGAGCATTGGTCAGCGGACTGGAAGGTCCCAGGTTCGATTCCGGTCAAGGGCATGTACATTGGTTGCGGGCACATCCCTGGTGCGGGTGTGCAAGAGGCAGCTGGTTGATGTTTCTCTCTCATCGATGTTTCTAGCTCTCTGTCTCTCTTCCTTTCTCTCTGTAAAAAATCAATAAAATATTTTTTAAAAATGCTACATTGAGCTGGTGTGTATTAACTAAATAGTAGAACTGTCCAGTGGAGAACCATACCTAGCTAGGAGGCAGGAGGCAGAAGGCAGGAGGCAGGAGGCAGGAGGCCGGGCTAAGTGGGTCTATAGCCTCAGGCAAATTTAATCTTTCGGTGTTTCATCCCATTAAAATGATCTCTTAGGGACAGTTCAACTTGAAAACTCGTACACGTGTAATAACATGCCATCACTCTGAGAATGCATAAGGCCTCAGGGAATGAGGACGGTGCACATCTTCTAAAAAACTGACCACTAGATTCTCCTCTAAAACATAAGGATCCACATTAAGGTTCAGCTCTGAACCACAGAGCTGAAGGGGACAACCTAATCAGCCCCTAAATCTGCACATGCTGACTTAAGCATCCACTCTGGGCAAATGAAAGAACGTGAACACTCTCCAGCCCGTCCTCCTAGAGTTGCACCACGTCCTGCCATTGGTGGGAAGGAACCACCAATTACTGTCACCTGCATAATCACTTAATCCTGGACACAATCCTGCAATGCTGGCATTATTATTTTTTTAAGATGAATACAAAAACTGAGGCTCAGACTAGTTAAGCACAGTCCAAGGTCACAGCATGAGCGGTGGGATTCAGACAAAGGCTTCTGCCTGCTAAAGCCTGTTGACTTGTCCCCATGGTGGCCATGTTGTTGTTTTGTTTTGTGTTTTGTTTTGTGTGTTTTTGTGTGTGTGTGTGTGTGTGTGTGTGTTGTTGTTGTTGTTGTTGTTGTTTTATATTTTATTGATTTTTTTACAGAGAGGAAGGGAGAGAGATAGAGAGCTAGAAACATCGATGAGAGAGAAACATCGACCAGCTGCCTCTTGCACACCCCCCACTGGAGATGTGCCAGCAACGAACGTACATGCCCTTGACTGGAATCGAATCTGGGACCTTTCAGTCCGCAGACTGACACTCTACCGCTGAGCCAAATCGGTTTTGGCATGGTGGCCATGTTGCTAACCCTCACCCCTTTGACTCTTGTATCCCTGGATCCACCTTGGGATTGATCTTGGGATTGACCTTGGGATTCTCTTAGAACCTGGTACAAACTAAGAAAGCAAGGAAGGAAGGGAGTTAAGAAGGAAAGAATGGGGGGGGGGGGTAATTAACTTGTGTTATAAACCTACTATATGTTCAACCCACCCCACCCCTCAAACCAGCTAACAAGTATTTCTCACTTAATATACATAAAATGATGTAAGATTGCTATTAATGCCCCAATTTTCAGAAGTGGAGACTAGAGTTCAGATAGGTTAAAACTCTCCCAAAGCCTGGATTCTAAACCAGATCTAATACTCAAGTTCTGCTGCATTCTTTGTACTATCCCAACTTGCCTACACAGAACATTATATAAGAAAGATTTTTAGTAAGATATGATTCACAGACCGTAAGATCCAATTCAGTGTTTTTAATATATTCACAAGATTATGAAACTATCACTACTAAATAATTCCAAAACATTTCCATCACACCAGAAAGAAACCCCAAACCAATTAGCAGCCACTCCCATTCTCTCTTTACCCTGGCAACCACTTCCTGTCTACAAATTTTCCTATTCTGGAGATTTCCTATAAGTGAAATCATGTAGCATGTAGCCTTTTGTGCCTGGCTTCTTTGCTTAGCATGTTTTTAAGGTTCATCCATGTTGTAGCATCTATCAGCACTTTGTTCCTTTTTCTAGTTGAATAATTTCCATTGGATGGAAATGCCACGCTTTTTTATCTATACAGATGTTGGGCATTTGGGTTGTTTCCACTTCTTGACTATTTTAAATAATGCTCCTAAAACTTGTATGTACAAGTTTTTGTGTGGGCATGTGTTTTTAATTCTCTTGAGTATATACACCTAGGAGTGGAGTTGCTGGGCCATCTAATAGTAACTCTATAGTTAATTTTTTTTTTTTTTTTAAGAAATGCCAAACTGTTGGCCTAATGATTATATGCTCCCACCAGCAGTACATGAGGATTCCAATTTCACCATGTCCTTGCCAACACCTCCTGTCATTTCTACCATGCCTCCCCGGAAGGCTGTGGTTGGTATGTCTTTGTAATTTTGACTTACATTTTCCTAACGACTAACGATGTTGAGAACATTTTCGTGTGTAGATTGACCATGTATGTCTTCTCTGGACAAGTATTCAAATCATTTGCCTGTTTTTTAAAGCTTTTTAATCTGAAATAGTCACATTTGCTTATTTTTTCTTTGTTTCTCTTGGGATATTTGTCTTTTAATTGTTTTTTTAAATATATTTTATTTATTTTTTACAGAGAGGAAGGGAGAGAGATAGAGAGTTAGAAACATCAATGAGAAAGAGTCATCGATCAGTTGCCTCTTGCACACCCCCCACTGGGGATATGCTCACCACCAAGGTACATGCCCTTGACCGGAATCGAACCCGGACCCTTGAGTCCCCAGGCCGACGCTCTATCCACTGAGCCAAACCGGTTTCGGCTGTCTTTTAATTGTTGAGTTGTAAGTATTCTTTATATATTCTAGATAACAGGTTCTAATCAAACATATAATTTGAAAATATTTTTTCCATTATTTGGGTTGTCTGCTCTTTCTTGGTATTGTCCTTTGAAGAAGAAAAGCTTTTAGTATTGCTAAAATCCAACTTGTCTATTTTTTTCTGTGGATGTTTTTGCTTTAGGTGTTATATCTATTAAACTATTGCCAAATCCAAGGCCATGAAAATTTATACCTGTATTTTCTTCTAAGAGTTTTATAGTTTAAATTCTTACATTTAGGTCCTTGATCCATGTTGAGTTCATATGGTGTGAGGTAGAGATCTAATGTCATTCTTTTGTATGTGGATATCCAGTTGCCACTGCACCATTTGTTCAAAAGACTGTTCTTTCCTCCATCAAATTGTCCTGGTACCCTTGTGAAAATTCAATTGACCATAACTGTATAGCTTTAAAAGAACTTCTATGCAGATGGACATAGCCAATGGACACAGACAATAGGGGTGTGAAGGCCTGGGTTGGGGGTTGGGGAACTGGGAGAGGACAATGGGGAGAAAAGGGGACATATGTAATACTTTCAACTATAGAGAATTTAAATTTAAAAAAAAGAAAAGAAAATAATTCAGTCTAACCAGGAGGCATAACCACCGGATTCTGAAGAATTGGGGTTTAAATCCCTTCTCTGTCCATTTCCTAGCCTGTGACTTTGACAAGTTATTTAAATTCCCCAAGTTTCATTTCTTCCTCATTGAAATGTGGCTAATACCATAATACCTACCATCTGGCATGGCAGGGAGAGGATGTGAAAATTAAGTAAGATTATATAAATTCAATTCTTAGTACCATCTCTGCTCTTTGCATGTACTAAAATGTGCCTGTTTTCATTGTTACTAACAGTGGGTAAATTCTGTGGCTCTTGGGTTTTTTAATCAATGGATCACTATTTCTTAGTATTATTTCCACTTGACATAAAAGAGACATTGTAACACTCACTAGGTGAAAGATAGCCCGATCTGAAAACAAAAACAAACAAACAAATAATTTTAAAAAGTAAATGTGTGGGTTTATTTATGAGCTCTCAACTCGATTACATTAATCTGTACGTCTACCCTTATGCCAATACCACACTGTCTTCACTATTACAGCTTTATAGTAAGTTTTGAAATTGGTAAATGTGAGTTCTCCAACTTATTTATTGGTGGGGGTTTTTTAGATCGTTTTGGCTATCTTGGGTCCCCTGGTATAGTTTTCAGTGTATAAGTCTTGTGTGTCTTTTATTAAGTTTATTTTAATATCTTCAAGTTTACTGATTTTTTTTTTTAATGAGTTCTAACCATCAGAAGAGAAATATGAAAAAACATGTTTTCTGATTTTATTTTTCTAGTAGTTGCCTTGTTCTATGGTGTGATGGATGGAAGTGCCAGGAGCAACATGGGCCAACTCTGTTTCTTTCCAAATAAATAAATAAATCCAGAAGCACCATGTTTTAGTTGTATGTTAGTCACAAAGTGAGCTGAGATTGGAGACATGTTCAATTAAGTAGAGTTGAAAATGGATATGTAATATTCCAGAAAAGATGGGTTTTGTGCCTGAGTTTTCTACAGGGCGGAGAGTGGAACTTCTGAGAGATGTGATAATTACTCGTCCCTAATTTCACTTTGCCAGCACTAAACCTTTCTCGGCAGCTTTCTTCAAATGGCAGGTACTGTGGTGAATGAGATGTAAAATAAATTCATGATCAGTACATGCCCTTTCTTGAGCAAAACTGGAATTGATAAAGGATCGTGGTGACAAATTCTAGAAGCCAGCTCACGTTAGGGAGCGGGTGAGAGGGGAATTTGCATGTATGACCTCACCCAGAAACTCCAGCCCTGAAGCATATAAATAGGTGAGGTCTTAGCAGCTCCAGGCCCAGCTGTTTCCAGACAAGTCACAACCATGGCAGTCCTGGGCGCCACACTGCTGTCCCTGTGCCTCGGCACACTGTTCATCTCTGCCAGCTCCGCAGATTTCCCTGATAGATGCATGTTCTTCAGCACAGTCTCCCCCACCACTGGTCCAGGCATCAAGATCAGTTCAAACATCTATGAGAGCAACAGGGTCTACACAGGTAAGTAAGAGCCTTTCTCTATTGTCTTTTTTCTCTAAGGGCACTTTACCAGAATTTCAGAACATGACTCTCCATCTCTGCTCTCAATTATACAAAACCTGCATTTTTTACCAGGATGGGAATTGGGGGCAGAAAGAATGAGGACATGTGAGAGCTTGGGTTGGGTGGGGATGCTTCTGCATGTTTTCTGTGCCAAGCTGAACAGCAAGGAGCCAACGCCCAGGTTAACTGAGTCTCGGCAAGAGCACACCTACGGCAAGTTCTGACTTAAAGTCAGTTTGTTATGTGAGGGATGAAGATTGCATCACAGTTATCTTTCCACATCTTTGATAAGACAGTGCCCCCGTGGATGACTGTGTATTGCACAACTCCAGGAGGCGCTGTTCGCATTTAGTTCACATGTGAAAAGCTCAGTTCGCTTGACAAGGAAGTATTGCTCTCCCATCTTCTCTCTGCGGAGCCTGAAGCTGAGGGTTAAATTACTTGCTCAGGGTCTCACTGCGAGTGGCAGAACTGGCTGTTGAATCTTGTTCTTTTCATTCCTAATCCAATGCTTTTCTTAGAGGGACCTAGTAATATTTTACAAATATCCCTTTTGGGATCAGACAAACCTACAAATCAGGCAAGTGCTGTATAATTAATTTCATAACAACATTTAATATAGTGGCTTACCTGTAATGGTTCATGTAGCCCCCATAACCCATTAGGTAGAGACCACTGTTGTTCCTGTTTTGTAGATGAGGAGACAGAAATGCTAGTGACTTACTCAGGTCACAGAGCTACTTGAGTGGTGAAGTTGGGACATGAAGCTGAGCAGTCAGAGACACTGCTCTAACCACTACACTATGTGCCTCTCAGTTATAGTAAATAAGAACGGATACTTCTTACTATGCAGTGGGTACTATTCTAAGGGCCAATATACTATTATCTTCCCACTTCACAGATGAGAACTGAGGCAGGTAAGTTAAAGTTTTACCCAAGCTCACTAGTAGCATAGCTAATATTTGAATGTAACTAGCAGCCCCGCTTTGTTCAGACAGGCTATCCAGCTTCAGAGCCGGTCTTCTTATCTACTATGTTCTCCTGCCTCTCTTAGAACTCTCGCCACATTTTGAAAGAATACCATGGCCCACAGATTCCGGGCTTCAGCAGGAAAATGGCTACTGCCTGCCTTCACACGCCCATGCCAGCCTGTGCTTTTTTCCTATTTTTTTTCCCACGGGGACTGTCACCATAAATGCCTCAGTTGTGATAAGGCTCACTACGTCCCACTCGTTCAGGCAGTGGATCTTGTCCTGCAGGACAGGGAGGACCATCTTGTAATCCAAGATGAAAAAAAGGAGGGCATGTGTGTGACCTTGTATGTGGGAAATTACCTGGGGGCCAGAGGGACTACTACCTTGAGATAACACATCACACAGGAGAGGATTTTGCTGCTAAAATGGAAGAAATAAGAACCTACTTTGTGAAGGTTGGGGTGCAGAGAAGGGGGTTATGAGCCTTCTGAAGTAGGAAAACAGGAGAAAGAAGAGTCAAAAGGTGATCAGTAAGATGCCTTCCAAAGGAAAGACCCTTGGAAGGGGCTATGCTGGCTGAAAGGGAAATCCCGGCATTTACAAAGGCAATAGGGGGGAATGGGACGGAGGAGGGGGTCTCAGGTTCATTAAATGCCTACTACATGCAATGTCCGTCCCCAGCCTCACCTCATTTCACCACAGATGTGTTGTCACTCCGTGATGCGCTGACTGACTCACTGTAGAAACGATTTAAGTTGAGTCAAAACCCTGTGCCCTTAAGAGGTGTGAAGTGCCCGATTGCACACCTGGATTACACCACAGTCTCCGGATTTCCTCGTAGAGTATCACTG